AATTCCCATTGTCCTCAGTGAGCACCAATTGCTGTCAGGATGAAATGGAGGGGGCTGCTATTTAGAAATGCTTCGCTTAAAATAAACCCATTGGGAGCACAAGCAAAACGCTCTTGGCCAGTTCCGCCAAAAGATTCCGGCCCCCTGGCCAAGAGGCCTTCGACAGCCCCGCCATCAAGAGAGGCGTTCATTTTGTCACTCACAGTATTTCCAAGCGGTAACCGCCCTGGGGTGGTTCATGCTCATCTCTATTCATACCCCACAAACAGTGCCATGTTACAAGCGGGTGGGGGGGGGGAGTCCTTTGGGTTAGAGAGATGGGGAGGGGATTATTAATGCCGTCACGTGGGTGCCCGCGAGCTGATGGAGCAACCGGGCCCCTGCAGGAACAAGTATCTGCCAGTGAATGCAGCCGGGCCCCGGGGCCCGTGTGCCTTCGGCTGAGTCGGAGCCTCAACGGCAAACCGCTGCGAAGCAGGGCACACCTCTGGCCAGGGCGAGCGGGCAATGGGCTGCGCGCCACGGCGTTCTGGGCACGGCGCTTGGGGCCCGAAGGACAGGTCAGGAACCCACACGGCGCCTAGACCATGGAGGGCAGGGGAGCGAAACTCCTCTCGGCCGGGAGCTGGCTGGCCTGCTGGAGAAGCTCCCCGCGGTGGCTTCTGGCAGAGGGAGGGGCCCAAGGCAAAAAGGACAGAAGCGGAAGCGGCTGTGCACAAGTGCCAGCACATCTGAGCTTGACTTTCTTACCTTAGAGCATTGCTGATCAAAACCAGCACCCTCGATTTGCCAGAAGCATTCTGGTGGCAAATAGCGTTTGCAGTCAGATAAACGCAAAGTGCATTGGCTTGGCCCAGTCAGAAGAACTGGTAGCAGAATCTGAGATAACAGGAAGTTTTGGGTGGACTTCAGGGGCAGCCCCCCCCCCCCACAGAATAGTCTAAATGGAAGCAGTATGAACTTTTTAATGTTGTTGTTGTAAACTAGCCAGAGAGCCCTCTGGACTATGGGGCAGTATATAAATGTAATATATAAATAAATGGGCATGTGTCTTCACTGAAACAGATTTGTAAACAGTACAGAAGCTCAACTCCATGTGAGAGTGAATATTGCTCTTTGAAAAGGCAGGCTTTAATCCACAGTTTTATGTAGTGTTCTGATGATGAGAAAGAAAGGCTTTCCTAATGATTTTCTAAATGCCCGTAATTGGGTCAAGTATGATTTGCTGCAGTTGTGTTTTGCTGCGCCCACTGTTGCAGGCTTTTGGCAGCCCTGTTTTGGTAGAGCTTACACTCAGTTTGTTCTGACAGAAGGCAGGGTGTTGTTAGGTCTGCGTGGGAAGGCTGCAGCCATTTCCCCATACTTGGTATCCACTCCTAACGTGCTGCCTTAGAGCCTGGCGCTCGCTTCCTCAGCTGCTAAAAGAGCTTGGCTTCCTTGGAGCCATTGTTTGCAGCATGAGCTTAGAGCCAGACCAGCTCCCTTGTGCCTTTCAACACGGAGAAACCCAAGTGACGCATCTCCAACAGGGGCAGGTGAACCTGGATGTTTGCCCTGCCCACCACTCGCTGGGTCTGAGCCGCCATCTTAATTGCTGACCACCCTGGAGTAATGCTTGGTCATGTCAGGGGCATTTGTGAGGAAGGTCGGCGTTGGCTTGAACTGGGCCACCCAGCCTGGCAGTGCTTGCGGTGTTGTCCCAAGCCTGCTTCTTTTTAAGAAAGGACCCCATCAAGCACAGCAAGGAGAAGAAGAATTGGGAAAAGCACCCTTGAGAACAAGTTTGATCACAGCAAAAAGGCAATTGACCAGTAAGTGCTGTGCAGCACTGGCTGTTTTCAGCCTGGGGAAGAGGGGGAGCTTTTAGCCACTTATAGGTATTTGAGGGGATGCCATGACCAGTTCTTCCCTGCAGTGGAGGGCAGGACATGTTCCAATGGGGCAAAGCTCAAGGAACAGGCTTCAGGTTAGATGGATGGAAGGACTTCCTGATGGTCAGGATCCCAGGATATGGGATGGGCTTCCAAGGGAGCTGATGGAGGCCCCATCAGTGGGGGTGTTCAAGGAAAGATTAGACAACCACATGTTGGGGATCACATGAGTGGAGCCAGCTGGAGCCAGGGGTCAGACTAGATGGCCCAGGAGCCCCTTCTGACTCGCTTTGTTCCTATGTTTCTAGTTCCCCTTTATGCCTTTGACGACCTGGTTGCAATGACAGACACTCATTGGAGTGAAACTCCCCCCACAGACGCGGATTGGTCCATTTGAATTCTGGTGCTTCCTGCTTGTGTCTGAAAGGCTGGGGCCTGGAGCCGCAAGCTCTGATGGCTTCAGCATTGCAGGAAATGGGACCATCTTGCTGTATTTAATGCTGGCCAGCCATAGACCATAGTGCCACACTGCCTTGAGTCATCCAAACCAAACCAAACCAAACCAAACCGTTTTTAAAAAGCATGCAAAACAAGCAAACTACAACATTAGAAACAGCAGTTTAAAAGACCAGCACAACACCGTCAGTGAAAAGAGATTGAAACACGAATGTTTAAGGAGTTGTATTAAGCTCACACAAATAGGGCCGTGCATGTAGCTTTCAGGACCAGGTTCCAGAGGTGTGGGGCCACTGCAGGAAAAACCCTGTTTGGCAGTGGACTTTGAAGGTGGCTCTGCTGACAGAGTCTAAGTCCTAAGACAGACCTGGGCCTGTTCAAAGGGGTGCGGTTTGCAGCAGGCTGCTCAGATCAATGCTTGTGGCTTTAAAGGTCAACAGCAGCACTTTGCAAGGAGCCTGGGAAAAAGCGGGCCAGTATCTGTGTCAATTTTTTACCTTTGACAAGCCTGCCGAGCACAGGATCCCGCGGTGACACGGGCTCAGGCGGCCTGCAAAGAGCAGCTTGTGCTGCTGACCTTTCCTTCTCGGGACTCAGGAAGGCTTCAGAAGGCACTGTGGAGACAAGTGACCATGCTCCACTGACGTGCGTCATCGGCCCGTATTCTGGGCAATTAGGAGAGCAGGGCTTGGGAAAGACATGGGAACATATGAAGACAGAATAGGATGGCTGCCTGGAGAGGACTGAAAAGGAGGGCGTGCATCATCAAAGCAGAGGCCGAGAGAGGTTGCCGATTTACATCAAGGCCACATATGCTAATCCTTGTGTACTGAAGCACATTTCGAACCGATTATTATGATTTACTTCAAAATGCAGCGTACCTGACCGTGGTACGGAAGACCATGACCGGGGGCCTGGACCCCTCGCGCAGCCTGGACACAGCACCTCAGACCTTTGGCGATGCCTGAATATGACATGGGGCGCTGGCTGGACAGCCTTTCAGACAGAGGCTGCCTTTGAAATAGAGGGCAGTCCTCTGGCAAACAGAGGACCCTTCTCTGTGAAAGAGGACACATGGCTACTCTAAGTAAGAAGACAGTGCCCTGAGTGAATGCAGAATTCATTTCCCAAGAGGCGGTTCTGCAGAGGCCAGGGAGTACTGTGGGGAAATTAGGTAAACTCAACCATCATTTCGTAGCTTACTGTGAATTCCTACACAAGAAGTGAGTCCCCTTGAATCCCACATCGGCAGGTAAGGTGCAAGGTGTAAATGAAGCTCCCCCTCATGACGCTCATCTTCCCAGCGTGGGTGGTGGGGACTGGCCAGCACTGGGAGGAGACCCCGGCCGAGTCCATCCCCTGCTGCTTGCCCTTCCCACCTGGCCGGCCTCTGGGCCTCTCTCGGCTGAGAAAAGCAAAATGGGTGTAGCTCGCAGCCCCACTGACAAAAGTGGCACCAGTTTGCCCTTCGTCCCACCCAGAAAGTATCCTGCACCCCCAGACTATGCAGACCCTTGAAAACTGAGTAGATAGAATCTTCCAGCAGGTTTTGTGCTGTAACATCTCTGCATCTAGAAACAAAGACCTCATTTGAACCTGGCCAGAAGCTGCAGCAGCAGAAGAAAGGGGAGGTATTTTATTGCTGCGAGAAGCAATTCCCAGTGTGGATGGATCTCTCTAAGAAGTTCAGCTACCCAGGCAAATTGGAAGCATCATAAAACCAGACAGGAACAGGGCGTCCGTCATTAATGATGCCCTTCGATCCGTGCATGTCCAATGCTAGAAATCAAGCCCACAAAGCTAATAAAACGTATGACAAAATCAAGCAAACAAGTCCACAGGGAGAAGGAGACAACTCTTCCCGCTGCCTGCAACCTGGCTTATTAACAGAAGCTTTATTTAGGAGCTCCTCCGAACAGCAAGAGAAAAACCTGCCATCTCCCGATTGAATGGCCCACGCCAGGGACCCCAGAATGAGCTTTGCTGAGGATATATTGGGTTCAGTGCACCATGGCAGTTCTCAGCCCACCAACTGAATCTCTGATTTAAAAGGAAAAAAATCAGTATGTAGTGTTGGCAATCTTCCACCCTGACACAGCCCAGAAAGTTTGCCTTGTGCTACACAAGCTGTCATAAAGTGGTACCAAATAAATAGGCCCGTGCCCTCCTATGCTGGAGCTGATAAAGAGAGCAGGATCCATCTTCTCATCCAGATTTATAGCCTCAAGGAGTCTGGGCTATAAGCTGCCAAGTGTATTTCCATCAGCCTCTGTTAGAATAGCCCGAGAAAATGTGGGATCAAATAAAAGTTGTCTGACAGTAGGAAACAGGCAGGGGCTTGAAGAGCTGCTGCAATTTACTCTTGGCTTTGCTGGCTTGCCTGTTTGCAACTTCACATCTGTGTACATATTTTTTGTTAATGCCATGGAGCAGGCAGATGACCTTTCCTGTAAGTAGAAGCCCAAGTGACTTCTGTGAAGGAATTACCAGCTCCAGTCTGGATGCAGCGGTGTCTGTCCCTGCACGGGACAGATGGGCCATGGCGGTCCCTGCGTTGGCAGCTGGCTACCGGCATGGGCTTTCACGGGCTCTCCTTGTGCTTGTTCTGGAAGCTGCAGCGGGTGCCGAGCAGGTCGCTCAGCATGTGTGGGATGCTGCCAGGCTAGGTATCCACTACACGACCGTCTGCTGCATCACTTCCCATACTGCAGACACACGAAATTGCAAACTTGCGTGTTTATTAGCAACATGTCTAGATAATGTCTTCTTTTTTTGAAACCTCAGAACAGTCTAGTTCATAATAATTCTCCTCTAAGGTCATCCAAAGGAGCAGTGCTTGTGGTACTGCAACCCTTAAGGGGCCATCTGCTGGCAACACGCAAGAGGCCTTCTCCATGGTGGCGCCCACTTTGCAGAAGGCTGCCTCCCCCTTAGCTCATGCTACAGAGTCCCACCTGTAGCATGTTTGATGTTGCAGTTAGAAACATAGAAACAGAGCAAGTCAGAAGGGGCCTCCCGGGCCATCTAGTCTGACCCCTGGCTCCGGCCGGCTCCGCTCACGACATGCCCACCATGTGCATGTCAGTTAGGTCACCCCGGGCCTTCTCTGACTGTGCTGTCCAGTTTGTGAATTGTTAGTTTTCTGCTTTTCACTGAGCACTTTTTTTGTATTGTCTGATTTCAAATGTTTTAACTGAAGATGTTTTGTGTTTTAATCTCCTAAGTCCTTTCCGACATGGTAAGCAGTTCATAGATGGCTAAAATGGGCACAGCTGATGAAAAGGTGCTTGCTTGCATTAGCACTGATGGGTTTGTAGGTGCTGGCTACTGAGTACTGGGGGAAAGTCATCTTCGTCATGCCCCCCTCCCCCCATATTTCTAGAGTAGTTTTCCCAGGGAAACTACTATAACCTCCTCTCTGTAGGCAAGTCATGAGCAGAGCCAGCTGGAGCTCGGGGTCAGACTAGATGGCCCAGGAGACCCCTTCTGACTTGCTCTATTTGTGTTTCTAAATCGAGTGCCTTGTGCTCAGGTTGCATATTTGAAAAGAAGCAGATGCTACAAAAACACCCCAAGTCTCCAGAAACTGGGTTTTCTTGGCAGAGATGTTCATCCTTTCCTAATTATGCAGCCCTCTGACTGGCTCATTTATGTATTTTATTTATTAAAAGCTGTTCTAATCCATCCCCTACAAACATCTTGGGACAGCTTACAATAACTTCCACCTGGCTTCCACCTCAGCTCCGTGAAAAGCAGCTCCGTGAGCACAATCCTCCTGTAGGCGGTTTCAAAGCTGCCAATGGGGATTGTTGGCAGCTGTTAAAGGTCAGATGCAGTGATATTTGAAACACCAACCTGGCTGTCCTGAGCTCCTTCCGCCACGCTGTAAGTTCGACATTTGCCCTGTCTCCCACCGCCTCTGCAGACAGGCGCTGTGTGTTCAGGCAGAATCCCTGCAGCCGTTCTTGTGGGCAGAGGTATGCTTTCCGAGTGTCTAACCGAGGAGCTGCCAGTCCAATTCCACTTTAAAGAAAGTGGCTGGTCAGAGTTATGCATCACTGCCCACGTTACTCCTTTTGCATGATGCCTTCCTTTGTTTTGATGATTCTGGGGGGCCTCCCTGCCTCACCCGCCCTGCCCCCCCCCCACCAGCAAGAGGAAGGAGGCCTGTCATGGGGTCATCCAGGGTAACAGAGCCAGCAAGGACAAGCAGACCTCTTGACCAGCCAGCACGGCCTTTGCTTTCTTTTACAAAAACTCTGAGCTGCACCACCTGAAGCCTGACACTTAAGAAATAGCCTCAGAACGAAGCGAACTCTGAAATTTGTTTTGAGGACCAGAGCTGAACTGACTAACAAAAACAAGTTCCTGGTTACCCCAAGCTGGCTGTCTTTGCGTCAGCAGTACAACCGGGGGTGTGCGGGAGAAGATTCAGGGCGCTTCAGTGCCCACGCCACCCCTGAGGCACGCAAGCCCCTGAACTCGGAGGCTTCCGTACACCCAGAGCGTGCAGCAAGGCGAGGGGGCCTTCTTCTCCACGCCCCACCCCGCGCTCCACTCTGGACAGCTGTTTTCAGCCCTCTGGCTCCAGTGCCTGAGAGGAGGAGGCGAGGTGGCCGGGGCACGGTCAGGAGCCAGCCCGAAGCGACCTCCCCCTCTTCCCCTTCCTGCCCTGGAACGGTCCCTGTTGCCCCCTCTGAGGCCCACCTGCCTCTCCAGAGAGGCAGCCGACATGGTTGCATGTCCACTGGATGTGGGGGGGGGGGGCAGGGGCTCCGAAAGTTCTCTGTCCCTGAGGCAACCTTGGGCAGGGAACAGGGCTCCCCCTGGAGCTGCCTCACGGTTCAGCAACGGGGCGTCTCCTGCCAAGCAGCCAGGAGTCTGCCTCCTGCAGGAGAGGGGCAGAAGGGCGGTTTCTCCCCGCAGGCATTCACACATCCCAGGCTTTCCAGTCCTTGGAACGGGTACAGGTACTTCCGGGATTTCTCAAAAGGAGTTAGCGGGGGGGGGGGGNCCACTGGCAACACTACTCATTCTGCCTTAACCTTGCCAACATGAAACAGCTCTGCGATGGCACTGATTTGTAAGTAAACGTGGTTAAATAACTTGATGAAAAGTGTTGCTTTAATTTACCAGAATTTCTTTTATGAATGCCATTCTTCTGTAGTGTAATTGGCCCAATCACAAGATCCAGTTTTTCCTGGTAAGAGCTTGTATCTCTCATAGATCTCAGCACATTCTGACAGCCATGATTACATCGGGAATTATAGTCATCTGCTCTGCAAACCACCACTTTACACTGCAGGTAAACTGATGGATATCTGCGAATGAAGTCAAAGGCTCGGAAGGAAAACCGAAGAATATGCCTATGTGGTGAATAATGGGTCTCATAGGTATAATCTTGAATGCACCTGCATGAAAGCAAAACAATTATATTAGTCTACACTGTTGGGAATTACTATGCCCAGTTAACATGCTACTGTGTAAGAATCTGACCAGTGCTGAAACAGGGCATGAAAGGGGTCACTTAAACACCACAGATTAGATCCATTCTGCTCCACTGCCTTAAAGAGGTCTACTCTAGATATCCATCTCAATATGTAAATTATCAATACATTCGATACCACATTGCCTCCTTTCTCATTTCAGTAGCAAATATTTATGACAGTGAACTAGCACTGGTTTGCACCAGTGTGACTTCATTATGGCTGAAGAGCATGTCATGGTGCATTTTGGAACTGAAGCCGTGAGGCCTGACCCATTCAATAGGCTGGCTGGAAAGGAGTTCCTGAGAAGCAGGAAAACTGTGGCTGTTTGGAGAAGCAGAATGTAAATGCCCAAAGAAACTTTCTGCTCAGTTGCCACAGCAGTATATTTTGTGAATTCTTTTTTCTGTTCTTTCCCATCTGTCTTAGCTATGAGACTTTGCGTGCTTTCTCAAGAAAAGCAAAGACCCTGTAATGTTAACCTTTACAAGTTTTTGAAGAGCAAAAAAGCAAACCAACCCTAAATTTTGCTTTCCTGAAACTATCCACAGCACAAGCCAAATTTCTGTCAATGCATACACAGAATTTCAATCCGTCAATTGACAAATTTCTGTCAATGCATCCACCACGAACATAGAACCACAGACTGCCTACCCCACACATACGCACCATAAATAAACAGGCTGCAATGGGACTTCTATCAATGGATACAGAATTAGAACTCTAATATGGGCTGAAATACATAGCATTTGTAGAGAGAACTAAGACTTTGTACACAGTATGTTTGAAGTCTTTGGAATAATTATTTGTTTAGTGAGTAGAAAACAATAAAACTTTGAAACAGTAAATAATCAGGCTCCACTATAATGTTAGCCTCATACAAGAACATCCTGGAATGTGCACAGATATGTCGCATTTGCACTTTAGATACATATTATATGCAAACTGCAGTGAGAGCTATAACAATGCTTTCAGTGTGCTAATTTTTATAGCACTTCTTCCTATGTATGAGGCTGTAGACCAACCATTTATGCTTTCTGTATTGGTGAAATAGCTGGGGGAGGCATGTAAAATTAAGTTTGAAGAGTGATCCAGACCGTGGGCTCATTTCAATGCTGATCCAGGCAATGATTTTCCTCCAAATTTTTCCAACTGTTTCCCTCCTATGAATCACCCAAAAGACTGATACCAATCACAGCTACAGGGACACAGCTATCCTAGTGTGAATCCATGCTACCACAATCCTAGCCTTTTTGTAAAGCATCATGCTCATTGACAATAAGTTATTATTTATATTTTTGTATATTCATACACTTGATTGCCTTCTCTTTTGTATTTTTAGAGTGTAAAACTCTGGAAAAGTCCCAATGATGCTTTGATAATTTACTTAATTTGTAAGCTTTGGCTGCAATGGATACACGATCAAAATGGGAACTCTAAAAGTGATTGCAATAAATATATTTTCCATACAGAACCAAATAACCTGACAATTTTTGAAGATAAAACTCTTACCCATTCCTGATGATATCATATGTCAGGGTTGTGAAGTCATTTCGGTTGGGTGATGCTTTGCATGTGTCCAAAAACAGCTGCAGGTTTGAGTCTGAGCTATGAAAATACAGTTGCAGATATATCTTCTGATTTAATGAAACATGGTAAGGAATATCGTAGGCTGGATACAGGAAGGACTGTGAGTTATAAAATGTAAGGTTCGCATCATATTGTCCATACTGAGTCTCATTGAGCTCCAGGGGATCAAGAGCAACATACATTGTTTCTATCCACGTGTTTTGCAGCATTTTGCAGTTGAAATGCAAGTGAAGGTCACGTTTTCTTTTTATTGGGGCGCTTGAAGTTGTTACCGTGATCAGATTTGAATAAATAATAGTATCAGCATCTGCCTGTTTGAAAAGATTAAACACCAAAACACAAGTATGTAGTAAGAACGTTATGTTGAGGTCCACAGAATTACTGTGGATATTATTAAAACAACAACAACCACAGACTGTGCCCATTCCTTTTAGGCTGAAGTATGAAAGTAGTAATTCCTACTTTCAAAATGTACATTTAATTTAACTGTCATATGGCAGAAGCTTGAGAGCTATCTGCTAAGTCTTAACAGTGAATAAAGCTTGGATCACACACATAATTATTATACAATAACCAGCATTATTGTACTTACAATTAACTTAACCCTAAATAAACAAATACATAAATATGAGAGTAGTACCTTCTTAAGAACCCCTAAAAGGAAGTCATCAGCACATTTGTGTCAATGCAGCCCTGTGCTTCTTTACTCAGAAATCCCACTGAGCTCTATGTGAGTTAATGTTGCATAGGACTGCAGTTCTGATTAGGAGACAATCTTAAGCTGTATCTTACAAGCTGAGTACAGAGTCTGGAGAGGCTGTACTTGCTCCTGCCCCTCTTGAAAATGGATCCAAGTGGGGCGTTTTAAGTAGGGACAAGAAATAAGCAATTGTGTCCTATAAAGACCCTGGGAGGAAGGGAGGGAGGGCATTTGGAACTACATTACAAATCTCCATACTTCTCTTCTGGTCTGACAGCCATTGTATGGTATGTTGAAGATGACATAATATGGAGTGATCTTTGGTCTGCAGTATGGGTCGGGCAGGTGGGCATCCCATGCTGCGTATCCTTCAGAGCTGAGGTAGCTTCTGCTAACGACAGCCTGCATATATTCCGGTAAACAAAGCAGAGCTGCAAGTGAGAAATGAAAGTCCCATTAGTGCACTGAAGTACATGAAGCCATGCATTATTCCTGGTGTTATTTTTTTATAAATGCAATACCATCAGTAGCTATTGCACTGTACAGAGTAGTATGGTATGTATGTAATTTTTCTGTATAAGCACACATTTGCACTTTTACATAGAAGCAGAGCTTTTTTTGCCATAGAATGCAGCGGAACGGCGTTCCGGCACCTTTTTTTCAATGGATTTTACGAAGTAATTTTGGCGTAGCAGATCAGCAACAAACATCATTAACATAGTGCCTGCAGGCTGCTATTGTGTCTGCGATCTGCTGTCTGATAGTGAGAGATAGCTGCTCCGCTGCTCCGGGACGCTTGGGATTGGTGTGTGTGCTTACTGCCGGCGGCGATGTGAGTTCCGGCATCTTTTTTTTTTTTTTTTTACAAAAAAAGCACTGTGTATAAGTATATATATAGAATATATGTGCACTGTACATGTATTTTGCATAGAAACAGAGTGAGTCAGAAGGGACCTCTCGGGTCATCTAGTCTGATCCCTGGCTCTAGCCAGCTCCGTTCACGACATGACTACCATGTGCTTGTCTAGTCCATCCTTGAAAACCCTCACTGATGGAGCCTCAACCACCTCCCGTGGAAGCCCACTCCATATCCTTGGGGTCCTAACTGGCAGGAAATACCTCCTGGCGTCCAAATTGAACTTTGGTTGCTTGAGCTTGGCCCTGTTGGAGCGTGACCTGCCTTCCTCTGCAGGGCAGAACAGGTCTCTACCCACCTCCATGTGGCACCCCCTCACGTACCTGCATGTTGCCAACAGATCCCCTCGGAGTCTCCTCCAGGCTGAAAAGACCCAGTTCCCTCAGTCTTACTTCATATGGCTTTCCCCGCAATCCAGCTACCATCCTTGTGGCCTTATGCTGCACTGATTCTAACCTGGCTATATCCTTCCTGTAATGAGGGGGTCAGAACTGAGCACAATACTCCAGTTGCAGGCGCACCAGAGTCGTATAGAGTGGTAGCAATACCTCTCTTGATCCAGAAGCCATGCTTCTGGCTATGCAACGAAGGGTGACATTCGCCCTCTTGATTGCCGTGTCACACTGCTGACTCATGTGTAGCCTGCAGTCAACCAGTGCCCCAAGATCCCTTTCATAAGTGCTGCTCTCCAGCCACTTGTCCCCTAACCTGTACTTATGACACCCATTCTTATGCCCCAAGTTCAAAACCTTGCACATGTCCACATTGCATGCCATCCTGTTGTCTCCTGCCCTCTTCCATAGTCTGTCCAGATCTTTCTGGATCTGGAGTACCTGCTTCTCAGTTGTGGCCACTGCCCCCGTTTTAGTATCATCTGAGAATTTGATAGCAGACTATTCACCCCTTCTTCCATGTCGTTGATGAAAAGATTGAAAAGGATCGGCCCCAGGTCACTGGCCACCATCCTGATGATTCCCCACTAATGATTACCCTCTGCTTTCGGTCAGTCAACCATGCCCTAATCCATTGGACAGTGCATTGGTCTATCTCAAAACTCTTCACTTTCTCAACCAGGATATCATGGGGCACTTTGTCAAACGCCCTGCTGAAATCCAGGCAAACCACATCCACTGTGTCCCCTCCATCTAGCCACCTTGAAACCTTGTCATAGAATTCCAGGTACACATTGAGAAATTACTGGGTTCAGTAACATTCATTAATTTCACTAAGTTCAGTAAGATTTACTCCTAGTTAAGAGTGCATAGGATTGAGCCTAAATGTGTGTGTGAATGTGTTCATGCACATGTGCGAAAACACCAAATGCTGCTACCACTTACCTGTAACACATCCCCTCTGCCCCCACACTTGTGAAAGGCCTCAGTAGCTGATCTTCTTGGCCTTTTCACAACCTTTTATTCTGTTCCAGCAATCTGTAATCACTGGGCAATATAGGACAGCACCATTCCAGGCCCTTTAAATGTACAGCGGCCTCAAGCTATTTGCTTCAGTAGTCTCTCCACTTGATCATGCCGCCTCATCATTTGTCTCTCCTCTGGAACAACTGTCCAAACTAAAGCAAATCTAACCTTGGCTTCTTGTTTAAACAGGGCATTTTGATGCCCCCCCCCCATGTCTTTCGTACCTCCAGACTGACCTATTTCAGCTCTGATCCTCTGGGATGTAAAAATCTTCACAGAGTCTCTTGAAATTACTGAAGAAAGCCTCCACATTGCCCCCTTTTATACACCTAGGGAAAGTTCAGCCTGTTGCACACAGGATTTCCTTCTGAGTCCTTCAAAGACCCTGGCACTTGCCCAGGTCACTTCCCCCTGATCACAAGCCTTTGTCTTCAATAGTCTTGGCTATTCAGCATGTTTTTAAATCCTGTCATTTTCTTCCTTGCACCTTTCTCAGTTTCCTCTGAGATTGATCTCAAAGAACTGTGCTTTTCTTTCATAGCTATCTACTCCTACACCAAGGGTTAACAAGAAAACAAAACCAGTTTATAACTAGATTGAGGCAAAATATACATCTAAGTGCTTACTTATCTTTTAACAGTCCCTATAGTTCAAGTACTCCAGGCTGAGGTAACTTTTCCACACAGTTTCCAGCCTTAACTATTACATGTGAGTTGGTCTCCAAATGTTTCTGTTCTCAACTCCAAGTCAAAACTGGTCAGCCACAGAGAACTTCAAGCAATGCATGAATGTCTAAGCATCTATGTTAATTAATAATAATGTTGTAAAAGAATGCAGAAGCATTATACTTACTTGTGTTCTGATCTGCAGGGATAGAATGATAGTTTGCCAAAAATCCTCTTGCTGTTGCACTATGATCACTATGGAATCTCACTGTCATCATGTTGGATGTTGATGTAAAGGTGTGGGAGGAGCCAGAACAAACCCTCCCAAGCAAAGGAGAACTATGGAGAGTTCCATCATAGACATCAACATAATCACAGCTGCACCTAGATCCACCACATACTTCCAACCTGGAAAGAAAACATGGATGTGATTTTTATACTGATGGTAATGGACTAGTGCATTGGAATCTACATCTGTAAGGAATGCAAAGCGCCATGAACTCCTTTATACCAGTACCTGAGGGAGAATCTTTCTGTTGTGTGTTGGGCACTAAGGTGCTGTCAAATTCAGGACTAACAATGGAAGACAATGAATCTGAAAACCAGACAACCAGAGCATGACAATCACAGTTCAGACACAGAAAGTGGTAAGAATGCTTTTGAACCTGAGAAACAGCCATGAAAGCTAACATTAGACTAAGAAATAATAGATTCTGGAAAGCTTTCTGACATGAGGCTGCTAATGGCTGTCTGCTTTTGGATTCGTCACAGAACTGAGACCAGTCCTCTACACGGGTTCTCCTTTCCTGTTGTCCTGCTACGTGACCCCGGGTGGTCTTTTTCTGCAGTGGTATGGCTCAAATACTGAAGTGGCAACTGCACTTTCAGAAACACTACCTGACTTTCCCCATTCTAAAAACATCCAGGAACACGCTCAGAAAAAAGAAGCAAAGCTGGAGTAGCACAACAACATCTGAAAAATTTGCAAACACCCATACCTAAGGAATTACAAGTGCATAATGCATGCCTCACACAGACAAAGTCAGGGAGGATTCAGAAACTCCTATTTCTTCCAGAGAGAAGGGGGATGTGAATTCAGCCATAGACTCAGTAGGGAGCAGCATTCAATTCAATCATCTCTCAGCTACATCTGACCACCTTTTCCCAAACAGGCAGCACCAGGCGGTATGGGCAATATTACTATTTACAAAAATCTGAGATTGATCACATGGTTTGTGCACTGTGTTAGAGGTTTACTCACGTCATACTTTGAAATGTAAGAGCTGTCAGGTAATTGCTTCCAACTTTGATTTCCCATACACAGTCTGCATTGTTTGGGTAGTTAGAAGGATACAGTGGACTTTCCAGTATCCCATTTGAATATGGAAGGAAACCACCACAAGAATAATTTGTTCCTAAAATTAAAAACCAACAGAAAACATGTTATGGTGAGCTACAATGTAGTGATTATTGTAGAAAATATATATGTGTGTCTGTCTTCATTAGTAGTTACTCAAGAAGACACTGATGATGGCAACCCCTAAAAAGGATGGCTTGGTATCCTGTGGTCCTTGCTTCCCGCAGAATTTGTACATATTTTGATTATGAATTATACAATACTTTTACTCCACTGCAAGAGTAACTGTGAGCACCTTTGCAGTCAATTAAATAGTTTAAATCCCCCAATTTAATGAATTAATGAATTAATTGAGAGCCAGTGTGGTGTAGTGGTTAACAGCATGGGACTGGGACTCAGGCGATCCGGGTTCTAGTTCCCGCTCAGCCATGGAGCCAACTGGGTGACTTTGGGCCAGTCACAGACTCTCAGTCCAGCCTACCTCACAGGGTTGTTGTTGTGAGGATAAGATGGAGGAGGAGATGTAAGCTGCCTTGAGCCCTTCGTAGGAAAAAGGCAGGATATAAATCGAAAATAAATAAATAAATAAATAAATTCCACAGTCTGTTTTTTTAACCTGATGCCTATGCTAATCTAAATTTAAGTTCAATACCACACAATCTGTTTCTTAACTGGATTATTACTTGCAGCTGTTTCAGAAGTATTTGGATGGGTTCGGTGAAATGAGAAGCTTTTATCATCTACCTAAACCTTCTGAGACACTAAGGCTACAATTCTAGAAAAGAAAGAAAATGTCCCATTCTGCGAAGCACTAGAAGAGCTAGGATTATTTTCTGTCTTAACACACAGAGGATTCACCATAACAGATGTGATGAAAATTAGAAACTCAAAACACACTGAGCCCTCAACACAGACCCTTCATAGAGCATGCACTGGTTTCTGCCTTCCTAAAATGCAAATCAAGGACTAGCAAGCAACTGCCAAGAACAATACATGGAATGTTACCTGTTGAATGAGGATATGCTGGGGGGCCATAAGAAAAGAGAGAAAGCTCCTGAGGAAATGTCAGAGCAATTTTAGGATACTGTCGTGCATGAAGCCCCGACAGAAACAGTGACTCACGAGGAGACCTTGCAATTGGCACCCTGCACCCAAGAGTCGCCCCCACAACCCAATGCAGGAGCAGCTGAACCCGCTATTGCATCTTCCCCTGAGCCCCAGCTCATTGAGCAAACTCCTGAACCTTTATCAGAGACAGAGAGTCAAGAGAAAGAGGCAGAGCAAACTGCCTCCTCCCCTCCTGACGCTGATCTCCCCGAGCCAGAAACAGAAGACACTATAGGTGTCATAGATTTCTTAAAAGCTGAAAACAGACGTCTTTTACGCAGATTTGAACAAATACAAAGCAGACAGCGTAAGAGAGAAGAAAGGCGTGACTTGGGAGAATGATCCCACGTGGGCTCAGAAAGAGAAGGCATTATAGGACTGACATCTGCAGGGACCGCTATTAGGGATCTTATCTATAGTATCGTAAATCTTGTAGACAATTAACATTAAAGGACTTAAGTTTTATTGCTCTGTGGAGAGTTGAATGTTTATACAACCCTTTCATGACAGATACAGTTGTATGAGACCTGCTATAGAAGGAGAGGGCCAAACTCTCAGTCATCCCATAGCTGGATTCAGCCACAGCGGCAACCATCAATGCTGCTGTCACCACCACAATTCATGGGAGATTTTTTTCTCAATGGGGAGGAAGCAGGAAGGTGACTGGGACAGTGGCCCCAGTCTCCTCCTTCCCTTTGATCTGCCACATGCCCGTTCTTGCAGTGGCATTTTGGGTAACAAGAAGCCGTAAATGAACTTCTGGTCACAAATGGCAATAGCAATGTTGCAGGTCTGGCTCAGCCTACCTTTTCCATGCACAGTGCATCAGCCCACAAGTGCCGACACCTGGGGACAGCATCTGGGGACAGGCGGCACTGCCTCAGTGTCCCTGCCTCATCCCAACGTCCTTTCTGCTTGCAGTGATTTTTCTCTCTTCATCCCATTTCCTTTTCAGAGCCTGGTCTGGCTTGATACCAGGGTTTTGCAATCTGCCTTTTCACCAGCAGGGGATATCCCCCTTGAAGGCATGGCCCAAGTGGCACATCGCAAGGGCTGTGTGTGCTGGGCAAATCATGTTTTTCTCCAGCTAAAGCCTCCCAGATGCTAAGGCTGCACTCATATCACGGTTTTGAAGGAAAAAGTCCCCATGTTCAATTGGGAGTGCTACAAGCTGCAGAATTCTTTTCAGTCTTAACAAACACTGGTTCTTTGTGAAAGGGTTGTGCCAGAAATTAGAGGAACACATAAGAGAGCACTCCACACTTGCATTGGTTTCTGCTTTCCCTAAATCATGGGTCCTCAAACTGGTCCTCAAACATCATGAGAAAGGTGGAGCTAGATGAATCACCAGTTGGAATTAAGATTGCTGGGAGAAATATCAACAACGTCAGATATGCAGATGATACCACTCTCATGGCAGAAAGTGAAGAGGAACTAAAGAGCCTCTTGATGCAGGTGAAGGGGGAGAGCACAAAAGTTGGCTTGAAACTCAACATTAAGAAAACTAAGTTCATGGCATCCGGTCCTCTCACTTCCTGGCAAATAGATGGGGAAGAAATGGAGGTAGTGACAGATTTTATCTTCCTGGGCTCCAAGATCACCGTAGATAGGGACTGCAGCCAAGAAATTAAAAGACGCTCCTGAGGAGGAAAGCTGTGGCAAATCTAGACAGCATACTAAAAAGCAGAAACATCAACCTACCAACAAAAGTGCGTATAGTCAAGGCTGTGGTTTTCCCAGTTGCGATGTATGGCTTTGAAAGCTGGATCATTAGGAAGGCTGAGCGCCGAAGTATTGAGACCTTTGAATTGTGATGCTGGAGGAGACTCCTGCGAGTCCCCTGGACCGCAAGGTGATCAAACCAGTCAGTCCTAGAGGAGATCAACCCTGACTGCTCTTTAGAAGGCCAGATAGTGAAGATGAAACTCTAATACTTTGGCCACCTAATGAGAAGGAAAGACTCCCTGGAGAAGAGCCTAATGCTGGGAACAATAGATGGCAAAAGAAGGGGACAGCAGAGAATGAGGTGGGTAGATGGAGTCACTGAAGCAGTTGGTGTGAGCTTGAGTGGACTCTGGGGGATGGTGGAGGACAGGAAGGCCTGGAGGAATGCTGTCTATGGGGTCGCAATGGGTTGGACATGACTTCACAACTAACAACAGCAACAAACTAGATCCAGCCCACCATACCTATTTATCTGGCCTGCCTCAGAGGTTTTGTACTCGCTCGGAGAAAACGATCTCTGAGCAAGCAAGCTGCTGCCTCGCCATGTGTGCGCCCACCACTGCCACCTCGCCATGCCCGTGCCCGTTTCCACCTCGCCGCACATGCACCTGCCTCCACCTCTCCGGCCCACACTCACCAGCGCTGCCGCCTTGCCGGCCCATACCCATTGCCACCACCTTTCAACTGGCTCCCTGTTGAAAAGGTTTCAGGACCCCTGCCCTAAATACTCATCAAGGACAAGAGCAGCAAGCAATTTCAGAGAAGGCTATGCAAAATGTTACCTGTTGCATGAGGAGATGCTGGAGCTTCTGGGAAAGAAAGGAAGAAAATTAGGGAGGATTTCAGCTTGAAAGCATGTTCAAATTCAAAGTCTTAGAGAAGCAGATAACACATGAGAATCTGTTTCTGTGTAGCACCATGAAAATTGCTATATCCTAACAGAATGCCCAATGAATGAGAAAGCACAGCTGCCGACTTCGATTTGATTTGCTGTTTCATTCTGCCACTCAGGGAAGCCCATCCAACTGCTGATTTCTGACAATTTAACATGTGTCCAATTGTAGATCAAGTGGTTGGAACAAGGTCGTTTGGACTCAGACTTGTGGACATCATACATGGGAGGTGACCTGCATAAGGTGGGCCCTTAATGAACTGATAGGTTAAGGAAACCTGCCATGTCACTGCCACTATGAAAGGATCCCTTTGGAAAAGGAAACAGCAGCTAGCACCACCTCCGGCTTCCTACTCCTCTGACTTCCAATTTTGTTCAAGATGTGTAACAGAAGTGTTTCAGAAGTGCAGGCATGTAAGGTTCCTTGCAGCTGAGCAAATACAGTATTCTTTGATCGCTTGACGGGTCATGTAAAAGGTGGCAAGCCATGCAGAAGCCTGTAAAAATCATGGCAGAGGCCCTGCGAGTCGTTGTGTCATCTTGTTGTGTCGGATGAATCTGAATCATTTCACACAGACTAGCTTCTTTCTGGACACCAAACCTGACAAACTAATAATCCTTGGCTTGTGTTAGGACTCCTTCGGTCTACAATGTGTTGTCGTGTCAACGTACCCAGGGTCTAATCAGAGTTTGGGGATCTGGAATCAGTCAGTGGGCTTCTGGGAAAAAATGGCAACATAAGCATTGCCAACCTGGCTAAGCCCACCATTGCTACTGCCAGTGCATCACTCCACAAGTGCCCAAGCTGCATTGGAGGATAGATGGCATTGCCTCTTCCTTTTCACAAGCATGGCTAGCCCCTTGAACGTGCTGGCCCAAGTGTCACATTGCATGGATCGGGAGCACTTGAAGAGCCTTTCTTTTTTGAGCTAAACCTTCCCGGATACAGAGGCTATGTTCCTGTGAAAAGCGGGGAAGTCCCCATGCTGGGCATCTTTGCAAAAGCTCGGATATTATTCTGTCTTAACACACATAGGATTCACCATCAAGGAGGTGACTAACATAAGAAATACAAACACACTGAGCCCTCAACACAGTCTTGATGGAGCATGCATTGGTTTTTGCCTTTCGAAAATACAGATCAAGGATGGTACCAGTAAGCGATTGCCAAAAGAAGATGCAAAA